TGAAAGAACCTATCAAAATGTGCCACGTGTGTTTATTTATTCCAAATAAATTAAAATTAAATATTGATTATATAATAGAACTAGGGAGAAATTGGTAATTTTATTTTTTATATACGGTTACAAAGAATACAATTGTGCCATGTTCCTAATTGCACAGAGTTTATGATACTTATTTTCCCCTCGTCGCTTCCCGTAGTTTTTTCACTCACGCTTGCTGAAATCAAATAACACCTCCATTTACTGTCGGTCTTCAAAGTTAGTCTCCACTTCCACCACCGCTCGACCCCTTCGACCAATGCACCGTCTCCAATCAAGGGTTCTGAAATCAAACGAAAGCCTTCATTCGTGATGCATCAAACGACATTGTACTACTCAACCGCTCTTCGCGACTACAGTCCAAGCAACCGCCGCTGGCCATAGTCGACGTTCACTATCGTTGCTCGTTACCGCCGTCTGTCGGCACCACCAATTCTCTCTACAGTTCTAATTCTCTTCTATGGTTCTCTTTTTAGTTTTTTCTTCGTTTTCGGCACCACCAGTTCTCTCTACAGTTCTAATTCTCTTCTATGGTTCTCTTCTTTATTCGTTCTTTCTCTCTCATTGCTTTGATTATGTGAAATTGGTAAATTAACTTTTAGAAAATAATATAAATGTTTTCTTTTTTTGGTGTATATGAGGGTATGAATGGGATCTCAGCGTACAATCTGCGAATTGGATTCTTGAAATGATTACACCTGTTACTGAAGATAGAATTGGGCCGGACTTTGTCGTGATTTATAAGAACTATAAGGAATATTTGTAATATTTTTATAAAAGCAAGTATAATCACGATTCACTTTTCATGTTTTCGATTTCTTATCAACCCCATCATTTTTTTTTCATATCCGCAGCCATATCTGTCTAGTGAAACTCCATCAGGGATAAAATCTTTAAGAGAAAAGAGCTTAAAGATTTAAGAGGTGATGGTAATGGAATCAGAAGGTCTTCAGATCAAATCTGTGATTAAGATGTTTGTAACGATTTGGTTTTTCATTCTCTTTTACTAGATTACCTTATTAACTTTCTAATATTCTTTTGTTTCAATATTTGATCTTGAAGAAACAAGAGCTCCAAAGAAAAGCAAAGAAGCTGCAATTAAAGATTGGTCAAAGAAATCAAATCTAAAAACCGAAAGGGTTAATTACACCGCTGATATCTTTGGTGGATTCAGAATTTGGAACACTTGGAGCAATCACCATTACCAATAAGCACCAAAGCGAGTTCTTCTTGGAGACTGTCACCATTGAAGGATTTGCATGTGGTCCTGTTCATTTCCCCTGTAATTCTTGGGTTCAATCCACCAAAGATCATCGAAAACCCAAAATTTTATTCTCTAGTCAGGTAAATTCAACACTTTTCCCACATACATTCCTAGTCAAATATTGATTATTTAGCTCGTTATTATTCAACATGAAAACACCAGCAACAAAAGAATCCAAACCCAAATAAAAAATGTCAAGATTCAAACATTCAAAGTCGAACCTTAAATTTCCATCCGATGACTTATCATAATTTGAATATTCTTGGTCTTAAAAAGATACCCAATTTGGATTCCAAGCTTTCGCTTTCATTGATCAAAACTATAACATTCTTTTTTCCTATTTGCAGCCATATCTGCCTAATGAAACTCCATTAGGATTAAAGTCTTTAAGAGAAAATGACCTTAAAGATTTAAGAGGTGATGGGGATATAATCAGAAAGCTATCAGATCGAATCTATGATTAGGATGTTTATAATGATTTGGGAAATCCGGATATGGGAAACCACTATATTAGGCCATCACTTGGAGGTGATAAATTCCGATATCCAAGAAGATTCAAAACTGAACCTAGTGATTATGTATATTTATAATTTTTATTTATGGCATGATTGATTAATTGTTGATAAAAAAATATTGATTTTGTCTTGGTTGTAGGGATTTTTATGCTGAGTACATCATGCAAACCTTGAGGAAGTAAATGGTGATGAGGATCTTTATGCAATTGCTGCAGGCTGGACTGGTTAATGCATAATGGGGACTTAGCTAATATATATTTATTTACTGTGTTTATTTTTTTTAATATGTGTTAACCATGAATGAATGACCTTTTGTATTGTTATTTATTCTGATCACCAACAATGTAAAATTTTATTGGATAAATCAAATTTGGTGTTATATTCTTTGAAATTATGTTGAATTTAAGTGTTATATAAAGAAATGATATTCAAATAAGTATTTGAGAAGATTAAGATCGAGCTAAAAAAATGGAAGAAAACATAAAGATTTAAGAAGACAAATTTGTAATAATTTATGATTAAACGGAAAAGGATAAATTTTTTCAAGTGTATTATTAAATAGTTTTTATGAAGGAATCATAGTAGGCATAACTAATGCACATATAATTATGTAGAAAAAAACCAACTTACAGTTTCTTAAATGAACATAACCGATTATAAAAGTTACAAATCAGGAAGTTTTTAAAATTACAAGTATACCCTTTTAACATTCTTGTAAATTTATAATTTAAAAATTATATGTGGGTGATGTGTCAAATCCTAATAGGTTCTTTTCATTTTCACATAATATATGTGTTTTAACATGAGCCCTCCCCTATATATATATATATATATATATATATATATATATATATATATATATATATATATAGGATATAGATCCGGTAAGAAATTTTTTTTGGTAGGAAGGTAAGAAGTTTTTTTTCTACATATTTTTTTGACGAACAAAATAAATGAATCATCTAGTGATTCATTTGTAAGATGATTCACAAGAAAAAATTTCCAAAAAAAACATCTTTATGATTCATTTTAAGTAACCTTAAGAAAAAATTCACTTTTATGACAATTTAGTGAATAACACAAAATCATTGTATAAATGAATTATCAAGATGTTTTTTTGAGAATTTTTTCTTGTTAATCATCTTACAATTGAATCATTTAATGATTCATTTTGTTTGTTCGCGAAAAAAATATGTAGAAAAAAAATTTCTTACCTTCCTACCAAAAATTTCCTTCTTATTTGATCTTGACTTTATATATATATATATATATATATATATATATATATATATTATATATATATATATATATATATATATAGTCAAGATCAAATAAGAAGGAAATTTTTGGTAGGAAGGTAAGAAGTTTTTTTTCTACATATTTTTTTCGCAAACAACAAAATGAATCATTAGATGATTCATTTGAAAGATGATTCACAAGAAAAAATTCTCAAAAAAACATCTCGATGATTCATTTATACAATGATTTTATTATTATTCACTAAAATTGTCATAAAAGTGAATTTTTTCTTAATTTACTTAAAAATGAATCATAAAGATGTTTTTTGGGAATTTTTTCCTGTGAATCATCTTACAAATGAATCATCTAGTAATTCATTTATTTTGTTCGTCAAAAAAATATGTAAAAAAAAACTTCTTACCTTCCTACCAAAAAAAATTTCTTACCGGATCTATATATATATATCTATATATATTATATATATATATATATATATATATATATATATATATATAGAAACTAAATACAGTGTTCGGTATTCCAAAGTACATAGACCATTCGTGTAATTTACACTTTAGCTAAATTAAAAAGAAAAAAGAAAAATAGAAGTCAAGATTATTGGTTTATGAAAGTCAAACTTTAACCAACTAAAAAAAATCATACATAGCCAAGGGACCATATGGACTTTATACGTTCACCATTAAATGATCTTAAAGCTTCTTCAACTAAGCTAATAGATACGTATTAGACCTTAACCACCAATCTTTTTTAAAAAACAAATCAAACTATTTCCTATTCACTTAACGATATTTAATAAATAAATAGATGGTAACGTATAAAATAATATAAGTTCAAATATTTTTTTGTTTTTTCTTCTATAGTTTAAAAGAAATATTCGATGATGTATATGCACCTGAAAACATACATGGGTGATACATATTTTAGTTATGCATGTTTTTCAGTAATTGAACTCGAAATCTTTGAAATTTATGCGAAATATCTTTACATGAACGAATTATTGACCAAGAAACAAATAGCGATGATGTATGTATATCGGTATATATATGCACCTCAAAACATACATGGGCGATACATATTTGAATTTTGCATGTTTTTTTTGAGTAATTTGAACTCAAAATCTTTGAAATTACATGAACAAATTATTGACCAAAGAACCAAATAACGGGATGGATCTGCCATTGAATTAACATGGATCACTTTCTATTGAATTAGCAATTGCTTACAAAACAACGAAGGTGACGTTCATACACGATTATAACCCCTAAATATACGTTTTCAAGAAATGTAAAATATAATGTGATATTGACAACTTATAATAAGATATAAACTTAAATGATAAATTCTTCTTTTATCTTCCAACCAACTTTATCATCTGGAGTAGATGTATTATTTTATTTGATTTTCTTGAATATGGATCGAGAAAATCTCATCATGACATGGATATGACGTCGATCTAAATCTTATGCATTTTCTATTTTTTTTTTCTTATAATTTTGTTATAGTTTTTAAAACAAAATTATAAGATCTTATTTAAAATTATATAAATTTTATTATAAGGGATATATATTTCAATTTATAATCCTAAAACTGGACCAAACCAGAAGAATAAATAAGATGGAAGTTGCTCCATAATCCTCTCACATTTCCAGCTTGAAACATTGACTTTTATTTTATTTTGTTTTTCTAAATACTGGAAAAAATTAAAAACGCTAACTAACAATAAAACAATATTAACAATGCAACAGAATATAAACCCATCATCTCCCATGTACAAATTCTACTTTTGGGAAAATTATAAAATAATTCACATTGTGATCGTTCAAAGGGTATAGAATATAAACGTAAAATCTATTAAAAACTGTAATTAATTTACATATAAAAAGGTGAAACTTTCTATAATAATAATAAATACATCAAAATTAATCTCATCGTAAAAATAATTCGATTGTAGTTGGAACCCCCTTCCCAAACCGAAATTCTAAATCATTTTCTAAAGGCGTTAAGTTCAAATCCAAACTAAAAACCCTTCTACTGTTAACTTTTTTCACGACTGTTGTAGGAGAATCAGACGATGGAAACGACTTGTTCTCATTGGTTGTGTTTGCTCTATGCCTTCTCATATGTCCACCCAAAGCTTGCCCTATAGCGAACTCTAATCCACATATCGAACACTCATGTGTTTTGGGCTTAACAGGAACCAAGTTGGTGCCATGTGTCAACTCGCCATCAGTACTGAGTCGAGGCTTCTTGTGACTCGCTCTATGACCACCTAGTGCTTGGAAAGAAGGGAACTGACGATTACATGTCTTGCACTCAAAGACTCGGCTAGGTGAGTTGGTGTCATGATATGGCTCGTTGCTTATTGGATTTGAACCCCTTGAAAGCATCATCAAGCAATTAGCCATGTTGCTTATGGCTGTGTCTAACTCAGCTTCGTTGGATCTCTTCATCGGTAGATACACCATTTATTAAAATAGTAAAGATGATCAAGAACAAATATTTCTTGGGGTTTTTAATACAGACTCTTGAAGAACAGGTTTTTTTGATGGAGGGTTTTCTGTGAAAACAAGAATAGAGTTTGTTTATGCGCAAAATGGATTGGATATGAATGAAACAAGAGTTGATTGGGTGATTAGGTATTTATAGGTGAGAAGTGTTGACTTCTTTAAGTTTGACCGGAGAGTGTGGATGACGAAAGTGACACGTAGTTGCTTGTGGGAAAGATAAGGGATTAAAAGCAGTTGAACACGTACGTACAGGTGAGCCCGATTTGGTTGAAAAATTAAGGGTACTAAAGTGTAAAAAAAAAAAAAGGAGAATCGTGGTGTGAAAGCGAAAATAGTTTAGCCGACTAGCCATCATGGACCACGTAAGTGTGACTAGAAACGGGTTAGTCGTGGAGCCGCCAAAAATTCAAAAACTCAGATTTTGAAGCCAAAGTAGGACTTGTACGGATTCTAGAAAGAGTCACGGATGAAAAGATCTAGATGTTATTTTTGTAGGTTTGTTTATTTATGTATAAATTTAACACAATTATCCTCTCGACCTCTGGTTTATCTTTTAAAAGGATTTGAATTTGTTTTATGAGAAAATGATTATTCTGATTTATAATTTGTTATAAATATTTCAAAATTATTATTTATTTAAATGGATAGTGATTTGAAAGGGTAATAAACTTTCAATTTTGTGTTTGATTTTACATATTTTGTTGTGGTGCATAATTTTGCTGTGACCAATGCAAAATTCTTATTTGTAAAATTTGTTTCTTTTTATGCCAGTAAATTTCGTAGTAGCCATTGCATTGTAAAGTTACTTTTTAAATTTTGCCTGTCATTTCGTAACAAGCAGTCAATGACATCAATCAATACATGTACAAAAGGTGCTAATTTACGGTATATATTCCCATCATATATAAATCTTTCTAGGTTGTTTGATTTGGTGCCAAGAAATTTATGTTTAGAAGATAATATATTACATTCTTACCAATACCCTAACTTGAAATATATAATAAAGATAATTTACGATGGTGATGTCAAGCATTTGCTAAATTTTATTCGTGTGCGTGCCAATGTTGTACATATGTATCTTGTAGAAATTGTCTATATACATAAATCTGCAGCATTGAATTGATCAGCCAATAATGAAAACTGATATGATGGAAAAGGGTATGGAGGTAATCTATATACATGGGAAGCAACAATCAAAGAGGTATATTAACCTCTCCTATGGTGTCTTAATGGAAAGGGGCCCGGTGATAATCCATCGTACATGGGAAACAACAATCAAAGAGGCATATTACTCTCTCCTATTGTGTCTTAACATTAGAGGTGCACAAACTGAGAATCCGATTTGGTTTGGCTTACGTAACTCGAAATCCGATCCAAATCTAGTCCTAATCGGATTTCAAACTGATTTGATATGATTTTGGTTGGGTTTGACTGGATTTGGATCCGATTTTAGCAAATCGGTTTTACGAACAACTATTGAATCCGATTTTGTTAGTAGGATCTAGATTTGGTTATAATAGGATCCATACTTCTACTTAGGATGTTATATATGGTTATCCGATCTAGTTTGGTTAAAATTCAGTTTTGATCGGATAGGATCCATACTGGGGATCCGATTTTTCCATGAACTTCTACTTAGGATGTTATATATGAAACCCCGACAATAGGTATTCAGTGTTTTTCTCTGAAGAATCATAAGTATTTTTGTGATGATGATGTTACTACAAGCGGGGATGTTGATTGCAGAGACATGTTTCTCCTTTGTTAAAGAAAGCAACCTAGATCACCATGAGCCACTATTGGAATATTGTGTGTGGAAACAAGTAATTATAGGGATGATTGTTCTACGTATGAGATATGATGGAATAAAAACATATTTATGGGGTATACCTCCCCCGTGCCATTTTTAGGCCATGTTTTTACACTCATGCCATCACATAGCCACTATCTAACAAACACATATTAACGGTGACAAGACTAATTCTGTGCCATTTTTGGAGAGTTCTAGAGCACTTGCGAAGCCTATATATATAATGTCAGATTTCAAGAAAAACAAAAATAAAGCTAGAACGTGTTAGGCCTAAAAAATATGAAATACTTGACAGCATTTGTCGCAAAAAATAGGCGAAGTACATATTTCCCTGGACATTGTTATAACCTTATGGCATCGAACAATGTGAGTCCATCGATGCATTATCTAAATATTCATAGTGCAGCCAGTAGCGATGCTTATTGAATTATTCTGATGCATCATGCAGCACTATATTTTTAAAATCGCAATTTCTGAGATAAATAGATAAAAAAAATTCAGGTGGAACAATTTGATGACATCATAGAACTGAAATAAGTCGTGTGCGTGGCAATCCAAGAATAGTCCAAATATGGACTTATGAAATCAGGTCTTACAAATATAAGTCGGATATGAAGACGCAACGTATGATGTCATAACTCATAATCTAGAAACAGACAATATCAATTTACATTTATTGTCCTTAAAACTTTTTATCATTGGTACTTTTAGCCCCTGAGCGGCTGAGCTGCACTGTTTAATTGTTGCACGTTATGTATTTAATCACAATATGAAATTTTTGGCAGAAGAAGTCATCTTTTAAGGCATTTGACTGTGCTTTATTATTTGTATCTCACGTAATCAAATAAAAGGAAAACCATATTATTTAAGCAACAAATAGCCGAGTTAAAATAGTCAAGCTTGGCTCAAATCCGCATACTGTGTTTTCCAATATAAGTTTTGACAAAATAAGACGACTCTAACATTGAGATTACATCCTATTAAGGTATATCCAACAACACTACTTTTCCACCATTTATAAAAGGAAGGTACTCGTCTCCATCATCCCATAATAATTGTCACCTCCCAATTTAATAGTTTAATAAAAATAACGTTAAATAACAATAAGACATTTCCTTAATCAAAATAATAATAAAAAACATAACAAAAATAAGAAACTAGAAATTAAATTAAAACCGAAAAAAAAAAAACTAATTTTGGTTGTCGTTGTTATCGTTGGGATTCTTAATGTAGTATATATGATCCATCAATCATGTAGAAGATTGTGGCTATGTATTTTTATTGTGGCTATGTATTTTTAAAACTCTCCAAAAATATTTGTTGGTACCGTTTACAAATTGTTCATGCGGATGAAGTGTGTCATGCACATTTCACATGCAAGGATGTATTTCATCATCAAGGTAATGTCATACTTGTATTGTGTTCCACACACTACAAAAGGAAAGTCGAGTACATTTCTTGTTAGAATATTATTGAATATCGGCGACTGATTGTACGTTGATGACTTGATGTCATTGTTAGACCCGACGACGCAAAAGAATGCACGTCAAATCTATACAACCAATGCTCCCAAACATTATCGAGAAACCATGTTCGACTTCATGTGTTAAATACAATTGTCCAACATCAATGTACGACATTTTCCAAAAATATATATTGTTAAAGAGGTCGATGACATATTCACAAAATTTAGACGTAAATTCCCATATAGTTCTCTCAAGCATCTTCAAATAATCATCCACTGCATCGGATATGATGTTGTATACCAAATGTAACGTCTCAAAAGTTATAAGGTAAAATTTTCATTTTTAGTTCAACCATAAACACCATTTAATCATTTCAATCATTCAAAAGTATATCAGAGTAAAAATAGTTATCAAAGTACAATTTCTGAAATCGTAAAGTGCAGAAATATAGGTGGATGCGCTGCGATCAAGCCCGACCCTTCCTTCTCGAACCGGGAGTACCTGAAAAACATTTTAAACATAAACTGTAAGCACGAAGCTTAGTGAGTTCCCCAAAATACCGCATATCATACATATCTGCCAACTCAAGGCTGTGCCATGTCTATTTCACCCTCGAGTCTATTTAAAGTTAAATGTCTGCCCAAGGCCGTACCGGGTCTATTTCACCCCGGTTCTATTTCACCTCCGAGTCTATTTCAACTCATATGCCAGCACAAGGCTAGACTAGGTCTATTTCACCCCCACATACATATAGCAAACAAGCACACAGGTATACATACGTATAACAGGAGTCACAAAGACTACATGCACATACAATCCTAGTGTCCTACAGTATAGTGAGCACACTCACATCAGTCCGCTGTCAATCCAGCTGATGCTCGGGCCACTGAACCGGAGAATCCCCGCACTAACCAATCAGATAAAACCCTAATTAATAATTGGGTCATAAACCATAATCGAGACTTAATTCACTAATCCCGACTCCTAGGGTAAAAGACTATTTTACCCTTCCCTTCAGTTGGCCCAATTGACTGAGGCCCAAAATCAATGACACTTAAAGCCCAATAATGACCTAAATCCAAAAGATACTTAAGGACCAATACGGACCCAATTTCATAAAGGCCCAAGCCTAACAATGGCCCATCTCAGCAATACTTGTGGCCCAACATAATCCCAAAACCCCAAAGTCCAAAAAGGTGGCCCAACTCAAGAAAGGCCCAAGTAGAGTACGCCCTACGCACCATACTTGTATGCCCGACGTACAGCCCTTTGATGCACAAGGTATAACTCGTCAAAGAAGGGAAAACGGGGACTTCATGCATTACGCTGAGCGTACTCCTACATACGCCCAATGCACCAGGTGTCCAAGATCTCTCATTAAGCACTTAATGCTTAAGACCAAATGTCCAAACTCAGATCTAACTTCATTTTAAGGTCTTTAACACATAAATTTGGCGACTTTACTCCTTTATATGTCTTAATGGGACCCAAAACCCATTTTTATCCAAGTCCATAACATGAACACCAACTCACACATGGTTCATCCAAACTCATCAAGATGACAGTTGTATACACTAACAACTTTAGAAATGCTAAGATCCAACATTCTAAGCTCTTGGAGTAACTCATACTCACAAGGATGACTTAAGGGACCATGATATACCCAAAACAAGCCCTATACTAAATCTAACATGTAGAGTTACCAAGATAGAAAATTTATACCTTCAAATGCTAGCAAAATGAATGAAGACGATAGAAAATTTATACCTTCAAATGCTAGCAAAATGAATGAAGACATTGGATCTATGAGCTCCACCCCAACTA